AATCATCGAACGAAGCAAAACAAAAGACAACGAAAAAAAAGGAAGATATTCTGAAGCGGAAGATTTGGCTGTACGCATTGTTTCTTGTAAACAAATAGAATAATGTAACCCTTGTACCATCATATCAATTCCCCTTCCCAACTCGTTCATACTTTACTATAATACTTATCACCAAAAAACTTCATTTGCATGTCAAAAAAACTAAACCCAGACACAGTTTCTCGGAATTACGGAAGCTATAATGGGACACATAAAAAATAAAATTAATCCATTATCTCGGTTTCCCAATCCGTGATCTCGGGTTAATAATCCATTATCTCGGATTAATAGTCCATTATCTCGGATTAATAATCCGTTTTCTTGGATTCCAAATTCGTTATCTCGGATTAATAATCCGTGATCTCGGATTAATAATCTGTTATCTCGGATTGATAATTATCTTGGATCCCAATCCGTGATCTCGAAATTATAATCAGTTATCTCGGTTTCTCAATCTGTTATCTCGGATTCCCAATCCACGACCGGATTGATAATCCGTTATCTCGGATTCCAAATCAGTTATCTCGATTTACTAATCCGTTATCTCGGTTTCCGAATCTTTTCATAATATTACGGTTGATTTCCGATAACAATCCAAGATCAAGGATTATACGTCCGACATCATGTATTGGGAAACTGAGATAACAGATTATCAATCCGAGATAACAGATTATTGATCCGAGATAACGTGTTATAAATCTAAGATCACGAGTTGGAAATCCGAGATAACAGATTGGGAAACCAAGATAACGGATTGTCAATCTGAGATAACAGATTATCAATCCAAGATAACAGAATATCGATCCGAGATAACGGATTATCAATCTGAGATCACGGATTGTTAATTCGAGATCACGGATAGGGAAACCGATAAAACGGATAATCAATCCGAAATCACGGATTAATTTTATTTAATATGTGTCCCTTTATGTCTTCCATAGATTTGTCAATAGCTTGAAAAATATGAAAACAACGGTTTATAATTCGAAGAAATAGAATGATATGTATATGAAAATATAGAAAAAATGAACACAGCTTTGTGTGGGGCTAGATCTAAACACCTGGAAGCTATTAAATATTGAATAATTGTTGCAGTTTGCAAAAAGTTTACTCGTAACATCGCCACCACTACCACACATAAATTACAAAGACAAATCTCTCTTATGTTACAAACCATATTTTGTTTCAAGGTTTTCATCCCGTTTTTGCAAATGATATAAGTTCGTACAGTTTAATGACATAAATCCATTTAAAAAAAAGAAGAGAATATTTTAACTGTGCTATGATTTAGCCACAAACGTATATTAAATACAACAAATGATTTATAATTGGCATCTTGTAAAACAAAATGATTGTTTTGATCTGTCGTATTTTAAATAAATTATTTGTACAAGTTGTCATTGACATGTCTGGGAACTTACTAATAGCATGCATAGTACATGTATGTTAGAAATCTGCACTCCTATTTCTTATTGGAAGATATCTATCTGATGAAGTTTAACTTCGGACGCACCAAATGTATAAAGTGATTGTCTTTGATGGGTAGATACTGCTAGTACCCGAGACTATTATCAGCTTATCTGTCAGTGCAGCGGTACTGACATGATCAATATCATGCCTTTCTTAAATTCTCCGATGGTAAATTCAAAAATTATTACGAAACAAAGGTATCAACTCACCCAGGAAAAGCTACCCATAGTAGATTTTGACTATTCTTTGTTATTTCCTTTTGGCCACTTAGCTTGCACCATTGATTGACAGTCCACTTGTTTACTCCCCTCCCAAAAGTAATAGTAACTCAAATAGTTGATTATTTAAACAGAACGATCATGTCCTAGAAAAATCCTTCTGTTGATTTCTTAATCTTCAGAAGCTAGTACTGAATTAAATGCATAAAACGGTACCCGTTCGTGTGTGTGTGTATGTGTGTGTGCGTGTGTGTGGTTGTTGTGGTGGTGGTAATCGGACAGAAAGTCACAAATTTGATAGGACAAAAAGTCACAGGACAAAAAGGTCACAAATAATTTGTTGACAATTTTTTAATATATAAGAGAAAGATCTTGAAATATTTACTTTTTATTACATAAATTCATTTCATAGTTTAGGAAATTGTTTATTAACCTTGATAAATGAAGATTTATTAAATCTTAATCATGCAAACGATATATTTCTTGGCACCATGAAGCTGTTTAAGTACCAAGCAACTTTGACATTTTGTTTTCTTAACAATTATTTGATCATTATTGATATTTTTTAATAAATTTTGTTTACAAATTTTGTTTATATAAACAATAGTTCAAAAAGAAATACAAAAATGTTTTTCTAAAAATAAGTGTTTTCTTATTCAAAGAAAATAATCTCAAAAACTGAATTGTGACTTTTTGTCCTGTGTCTTTTTGTCTGTGACTTTTTGGTGTGTGTTTGTTGGGGGGGGGGGGGGGGGAGTAATATGATTTAAAGAGTCCTCAAATGTAAACTTTACATTGAGATAGAGATAGAGGTGTCCATTTTGTAAGATACTCATAGACCTAGGTGAGCGACACAGGCTCTTTATAGCCTTTAGTCTTTATATATCAGAACAAATTTACTATAAAGTGGATTGTATTAGATCATTCTTATCGTCAATTTTTCTGGTGGTATCATTCCCCTAATAGTTTCATTATCAGAATAATTCAATTTAGTTTATAACAGTTTCTAAGTCATTGCATATAAATACAGTGGTGTAGGAGTAGACTGAAAAGTGTGTGTGTGGTGGGGGGGGCAAACTTTTGAAAGTACAATTCACAATAATCTTGTTTGCCAAAAAGTGGGGGCACTTGCCAACCCGGCTCCTACGCTAGAGAAATTATGATTTTTATCAAACACTTCATAGGATAGTGCACCTTATGGCGGCGTTTTTTTTTAATTCTTACATAGGAAAATTGAGCATTTTTCCACTAGTTACTTCTTCACTTTACAAAGGATCAAGTTGACCTTTAACGTTTTCTTCTTTGTAAAGACCAAGACGCCAATTTTGAAATACGATGTTTTTATGACTTACGGTTTTCGATCTTTGCCTTTGAAATATATGTTGAAAGATCAAGACTGCTGCTGCCAATGTTGAATACTTTGCAATAGTAAGAGATTATTAAATGATAAAGAAAGTAAAATATCTTGTCTACTATATAAACTTTTATTCGTCAATTTTACTATTTATGGATATCAAAACAAGTGGCTTGTTTATATCAAAAATATTCTAGACAGTTGTGGAATGTCAAACACATGGAATATGCAATTTGTTGATAAATGGGTATCAAAAAGTGTTGAACAAAAATTTCAAGATCAATATAAACAGTCATGTTTGTTAGATATAGATGCTTCACCAAAAGGGTTATGTTATAGAATTTTTAAGACAGAAATTAAATTTGAGAAATATTTTAGTATTTTGTTAAATAACCATTTGTATACATTGTGCAAATTTAGATGTGGTAGTCACAGATTGCCAGTTGAGGCGGGAAGATGGCATGGCCTTTCAAGAGACGATAGAGTAGGCCACTTTGTGACTCAACTGACATTGGTGACGAATACCACTACATCATGACTTGCGAAACACTGAAAGTAGATAGAACAAATACATACAAATATAATGTTTTATTAAATTCTACAAATAATGTACAATTTGAAAAACTGTAAATTTATCAAAATTATTAATGTGAAAGTATGTCCTCCTAGTTAGAATATGTAACTTACATGTAGTATTTCACACATAAATGTAGTCTATTTATGTATATATATATATATATATATATATATATATATATATATATATACCATTCTCTGTAACTTTGTATTTAGTTTATGAGAATTAAAGATTCATTCAAGAGTAAATTGAAAATCATTCTGTTTTATCTAATCTAAAAGATACTAACATAATTTCTAATTTACCATTTTCGTCATATCTACTAATACATTTTGACTATCCTGACATTTTGTCAGAAAAATACTTGCTTTTTGTTATTTCGTTGGCAGCTTTATATTGTTTTTTTTCTATTTTGTTAGCAAATTAATTGCATGCTTTATTTTTAGAATACAAAGCGTAGTTTAACATGCGTTTTGGGTTTGTGTTTTCTTAATAAAAAAAAATCTAAAATGGAAGGATGGTTTCAAAACTATATCTAAAAAAAAATCTTTTAATAATTATGTAAATCTACAGTAACCTTAGTTGTTTTGAAACTTAAATTTCCCTTCGCCATGCTCGCCCAAAGTTAAAGCCTTTATTTACTAATTAAAATTCTTTTTTAGACATAAGGCAAACCTCTAAATAAAGAATTAGTGTCTCGCAGTAAATTGCAGTATATTGCGATTTTTTTCTACAAAAAAAATGTTAAATATTTCATAGTACTATTACTATTAATATAGATTAATAAAGTTTAAAAAAATATTTAAATTGACATTCATTCAACAAAGGGACTTAAATGTAACTATATAAAAAATCTATGCATTCGTACATGAAAATAAACGGCGAACTGTCTGTCATTGTAACTGTGAGAGTATCTTCCCTGAATAGACAGTCCAACAATCTAATTCATTATAACGGAATATTTCCAATTTAACCGCCAAAGAATGTCGCGTGCATTTTTTACCCCACACACATGATTGTAATTAAATCCGATATAAAAGCGAACCAGTTTCACAACTGCTCTAACTAGTTTTGTACATATGAATAGTTTTAACTGTAACACAAGGAAAATTCAAGTTAAAATACAAGGAAAATGATTGGCTGTTGAATATTAGAGGGTCTGGATTAGGTTAACAGAATAGAGAACAGAAGTCAGAATAAAGGCCAAAAATATAAAGAGAAGAGAAAAATAGGCAAAAAAAAAAAAAAATAGAGAATAATGAGGTGCTGAAATATAAAGAATATAAAGAGAATAATGGACAAATCAAATAAAGAAAAAAGAAAAATGGCCTACAAAATTAAAAGAGTACTGACATGGAGGACCCCATCCAGACCATAATATAATGTGAAATCTGTTTACCAACTGGTTATATAAATGCATGAACACTGAATAGTACGTTTAACAGCAGAGTTTATTTCGAACGGAAAACAATGGACAGGAGATATTTCGCTGTGCTGGTAATATTCATTACCATGCCATTTATATCTATCCAGAATCCTGTATGTCATTCAGGAGAATGCTGGTATCTAGGCCAATGCTGGGAAAACAATCGAGGAATACAACCAACAGCTGAACTGAATGAGTATACCGGATGTCTGAAAGTTCTCTTGTGCAGGGACGGTGTAACTCTTGTAAGGAATGTATGTCCTAACTGATGTAAGTAGATTTCCATTGCATCAAACTAGATTAATTAGGAAGAGTTGCACATGGCAACCCGTCATATGTGATAAGCGCAATAATACAATATAGGTGCCATATAGAACTTTTCTTGTATTTTTAATATTTAGGTGAAAATTTTTTGTCGTTTTTCTAAGGCAATTGTCCGAAAAGCCGTTGTTATCGCCTTAATGAAGAACATAGCTGATCATTCTCAAAACTTATTCAACATTTTAAACAAAAAATGAAATATCATAACTCTGTTTTTGTCGTCCTAACAGCCTAATGTACTGTCGGTCGACACATAATGTTCTTTTTCAAAGCTTGCGGATTTGATAATTTTCTATTTTGAGTGACCCGTGTAAAATATTGTAGATCACAACAGACACCTTGTTAAATCTATTTTGCGTTAATATAATCAAACAACTAATTTGTTTTTTTTAAATCAATGTTTTGACACATTACTAAAAAAAATAATTATAAATTTTGAGGGCATTGAAAAGATAGAACCGTTGGGTCTGTTAAATATTAACTATTAATTTAAATGAAATCGGACTATATATCTTGTTTGAACTGTGATTTGAAAAAAAACCATTCTAAGAACTTCGCTGCATATTTGCGTTGCTTATTCTAAGTGATAAAAGTGCCAGTGAACGTTGATGTCCGCGTTTTACACCACGAAATTTACTCTGGATACAGACAAATCTGTGCACATAAAGTTGTAAGGCATGGTAGGAACTAGATAATACGATTTTAAATACATTTTATGTTTCAGAAACTTACCTTGATTTTGAGATTCCGTTTTTTCCGTTTCAACCAGAGTGCCAAAATAAACTAACACTTGCATTAATTTTCATTTGATACGGTCCACTCATTTACACAGTTTAAATCCTATATGTTGTGCAGATATCCATTGTCCATGTCAATCTCAATAATTAACTACTATTTTAACACGGGGGAACATCTCACACATTTTTCCAAACTTAGTTGATTCTTTGAACGAAAAAAAAGCATCTAAAATTCCATAAAAGTTAACATTTTAAAAAAAAATAAATGCATTTAAAAATTGATTACCTTAAAGCTTTACAAGTTGCACAGGTTTGTTTGAACTCGGAATCTTCATTTAAATAAACAAATTTATGTGACTTTATCTTATAAATACTCATTTTTTTTCCAAATGTAGAACATGGTTGATGGGTTTCATTTTTTTTTTTTCTAAACCTTAGCATATTGAGGGGAGGTAACTTAATAATTTGTATAACTTTTAAAAGAACCTAAAAGAAATGTTTCTATTTCATGAACGGTGACCCCAGTTTTCTTTTGAAATTCTGAAAGCATTTCATAAAAGCTATCTTCTCATATTTTATTTCAAAATTCTGCCTTCGATTAACGTAATAATGTTTTTCTCTGTATAATATAATCCATACAAATTAATTTTAGCTCACCGGGGCCCGAAGGGCCCCATGTATGCCATCACTTGGCGTCCGTTGTCTGTCGTCGTAAACTATTTCAAAAATCTTCATCTCTGAAACTACTGGGCCAAATACCTTCAAACTTTAACTAAATGTTCCTTAGGGTATGCAGTTTATAAATTGTATCCGAAGCTTTGATCCATCGACAAACATGGCCGCCATGGCTGAAAAAAGAACATAGGGGTCAAATGCAGTTTTTGGCTTATATGTCAAAAACTAAAGCTTTTTGAGCAAATCTGACATGGAATAAAATTGTTCAATTGGTCAAGATCTATCAGACCTGAAATGTTCAGACGAATAGAACAACCCATTGTTGGGTTGCTGCCACTAAATTGGTAGTTTTATGGAAATTTTGCAGTTTTTGTTATCTTGAATATTATTATAGATAGATATAAACTGTAAACAGCAATAATGTTCAGCAAAGTAAGATCTACAAAAAAGTAAAATGACCAAAATTGTCAATTGACCCCTTAAAGAGTTGTTGCCCTTTAAAGACAATTTTACACAATTTGTTCATCAAGTTTGCTAACATTTAAAAATCTTCTCCTCTGAAACTATTGGGCCAAATACCTTAAAATTTTAACTAAATGTTCTTTAGGGTATTTAGTTCATAAAATGTATCCGAAGCTTTGATCCATTGACAAACATGGCCGCCATGGCTAAAAATAGAACATAGGGGTCAAATGCAGTTTTTGGCTTATATCTCAAAAACTAAAGCTTTTAAAGCAAATCTGACATGGGGTAAAATTGTTCAATTGGTCAAGATCTATCAGCCCTGAAATTTTCAGACAAACCGAACAACTCATTGTTGGGTTGCTGCCACTAAATTTGTTATTTTAAGGAAATTTTGCAGTTTTTGGTTATTATCTTGAATATTATTGGAGATAAAGATATACTGTAAACAGCAAAAATGTTCAGCAAAGTAAGATCTACAAAAAAGTTTTTATGATCAAAATTGTCAATTGACCCCTTAAGGACAATTTTACACAAGTTGTTTGTTTTTTAACTTAAAAATCTTCTCAAATGAATCTAGTATAAATTTTGTATTTTTATTTCCTTGTACGTCAAGTAAAATAGACACTATGGCTCAAAAGGAACGTATGGGTAAAATGCATTTATTTGGTTTTGAAGAAAATATGACAGATACTATGAACATTTAAATGACATTTTTAAGCCACTCATTAATATATATTGAAAAGCAAAAATAATCATTGATGAAAGATTTAAGCAAATAAAATATCAGGTGAGCGATTCAGGCTCTTGAGAGCCTCTTGTTTCACAACCTGTAGTTTGAAAACAAGCACGGTGACCACCATGTTTGTCTCCCCTGCGCCAACGGCGGCGTAAACTATTTGTATGAAGCTTGATATTTCAGAAGGTAGAAATCCTAGAAGTTTCATACGTACCTTGCATGCAAATGCCTTACGTTACGAAGTATCCGTCTTGTAATATGTCCATTGTCCCTTGCCTTATTTTTATGGTTCAGCGACTGCTTGAAAAAATGCCCAATTTTTCATGTTATATTATACTCGCTTATAATGAGTAATAGGATAACGATATTTTTATATGGGATCCTTACAAGGCCTTCCGTGTTCCGCCAGTCAAGGTTCACCTGGCCTCCAGCACGACCTCATTGCATGGATCAGTGAGTTAAGTTTTTCTATTGAAGTCCTTATCTCGTATACTATAAGCAACAGGTCAACTATATTTGGTGTCTGTAATGATTGCAAGTTATACATGTCTGACTGACAGGTTTCATCTGCCCTTGACCTCATTTTCATGGTTCCTTGATTTGTGTAATATTTATGTGATTTTGGTCTGTTTCTCGGATAATATAAGCAAAATATTAGCTGTATTTAGGGAATGGAATGATTGTAAGGTGTACATGACAGGTTTCATCTGACCTTGACCTATTTCATGGTTCATTGGACAATGTTAAGTTTTTCATGTTTGGTCTGTTTCTCTGATAAAATAAGCGATACGGTAACTATACTTGGTGTAGGGAATTATTGTAAGGTGTTTATGTCTGTCTGGCAGGTTTCATCTGACCTTGACTTCATTATCATGGTTCACAAGTCAATGTTAAGTTTTGGGGATTTTTGTCAATTTATCAGATACCATAAGCAATATGTCAATTGTATTTGGTGTATGGAATGATTGTAGACAAGACAAGACAAGACAATGTTTTATTTAAGTCTCGCTTCTTACTAAACATTCACGCATTATTATAATTTCACATATAAAACAAGAGCCACTATAAAAAAAAAAGATTAAGAGAGATAATTTGTATATATATCATAGGTTTGAACGTTGTTTTCAATTTAGACTTGTTTATATTTTTTCGTTTGGGCTTGTATTATATTTTCCTTCGGGTTTATATGATCCGTTCATCCTATTTCGACTCTCCAAAATTCAAGAGTCTTATTCTTAATTGAGGTAAATTATATGGCCTTCCAAATACCGTTTCGATCCTAAACATCATTGAAGAGACATTAATTGTCGAAATCCGCATATGGTGTACAAATCTTAGCACCTCATGTTTGTGGTATATCATCTTTTCCTCAAGTTTATTGTTTTCTGTTTGGTATTAAATTAATATTAAGATCCATTTTGCTACATCTGGTGATCAATTTATTTGGCAATCGCCAATGGCAGTCAGCAGGGTTCAAGAACATCCGTTGTTCGACCTATTAGTCAAATGCGTTTTGTTAAAAATATACTTTTTCACTTTTTTTGTCTTTTGGAAAATGTTGTTTGTGCTGTATTTAGACCCCTCTACCAAGAAATTTGTTTTACATGCACACGTATAAAAATTGCGGTTTTTATCCAACACTATCATAGGTTTGAAAGTTGTTTTCAATTCACACTTGTATATATATATATATCATATATACACACATGAAATATAAAACATGAAACATAATAAAAATATACATTTTAAGAATATAATAAACATTTTCTTTTCAATAAAATATCATAGCAGATTAGCAGTGTAAAAGTAAACATTTTTGTCACTAAATAAAAATACAAATTAATTGTCATCTGACATACTATAAAAATCAAGACAAAAAGAATTAGTATGACCAAACAAAACAACATCTGCACATAGTGGGCAACTCAAAATTACATGTTTCTCAATTGTTTTATCGTTACAATTAAAACATATTCTATCATTAATAGTTAAGTTCTGATATACCGGCCCGTTTCAATTGTTAGGGGCGCAACACCACAGGGAAATGTTGCAAAAGCGCTTCTATATTTCACTTGTAAGGGGTACATGTCTGTTTGGCAGGGATCATTTGACCTTAATTGGCCTCACTTTCAGGAGTAATTGGTCCATCTTTACTTTCTTGGTTAAATATGTTTGTCGGATACTATAAGCAAAAGGGTAAACTATATTTGGTGCATGGTATAATTGTATTGTGTACATGTCTGCCTGGTAAGGTTTCTTCATTTACACAGATCATTGATGAATAAATGTTAAAGGGGCATTAGCTGTCAAATTCATGTTCACCAATTTGACTCAAATTTTCATATTTGATTTATAACATACTAAAACGCATATCCAAATTACAAAAAGTCTAAAATAAACAATTAACAATGCATGAACATGATAATATGTATCAACATTTCGTGTGTATTTTTGTCTAGACGTCATCTATTTAACCATCGAGATGACCTCCGAAGACTACCGACGGTCATATAACCCGATATAAATATAAATTTTAATAGATAGTGACCACGTGCAGTTTGATTTTTCTTAGTCTGTTTCATTTCATATTGTAGGTTAAAAAGTATGTTTATCATCGTTGTTGCCTGCATAAGAATGATTTTTTGTGGATCGAATCAGTCAACCAAATGGTTCATCCTTGTTTCACTTTTGATGTTGACATTCTTTTCCTTTTAATAGCTGAATGCATGCGTAAACAATGTCCAGCTAAGGGTTTAAATTAAAGGTCACACGAATACGGATTCAATGAGGTCGAATTATTCACTTGCAAGTGAATAATTTATCAGCGATGCTTCTTAGCTTATTTTGACAAAGTTGAACCAAATTGGCTGCTTCAAGCAAATTATTATTTTACTATTTCACTTTCATAAATGATTGAACAAAAAAAATTATTTTGATTTTTTTTCATATCTCGTAGCTTTATGCCCCTTTAAGGTTGTGTGATACTTGTAGTAAAACCTTCATAACAAGCATTCAACATAAATTCAATCATGAACATATAACAATATATACATATTGGAAAAGTATGAACAAAATCTTGGTTTTCGTTTACACTCCCGTACCACCTTCAATCGTTTTTTTTTTGCAGTCATTTTCGAAGTTTTCTTTCGGTAGTCAAAGAAGTCATGCATACGAGTTTTTCAACTAAAGTGTTTGCATCAATTTACATTGTAAGAACTATCAAGTTTACAATTTTATTATGAATTATTCTGTATTTAAAAATATATCGTTCAAAACAAGTACTGGTAGCATTCAAAGGCACATAAGTAAAAAGGTTGCTGCTAACAGGTCTACAAACGTAATTGTATAATATTGTTAGTATATATTGGTTTGGTTTATTTTAAATGTGCTTAAGTGATATGAATAAAGGCAGTTTGCAATTTGTATTACTATAGGCGTTGATTCCTGTATTTAGGAAATCTGCATGTGAAGTTAATAACTAGTGTTGATTCCTGTATTTAGGAAATCTGCATGTGAAGTTAATAACTAGTGTTAATTCCTGTATTTAGGAAATCTGCATGTGAAGTTAATAACTAGTGTTAATTCCTGTATTTAGGAAATCTGCATGTGAAGTTAATAACTAGTGTTGATTCCTGTATTTAGGATAACTGCATGTGAAGTTAATAACTAGTGTTAATTTCTGTATTTCAGAGAATCCTGATGTAGCCTACTATAATGATGAAAGCAAATAACAATGATGAAAGAAAATACGACAAACTTTAGCAGTGTGTTTTTTTTTTGTTGTTTCGACCACACAATAATATAATATATACATGTATAAAGAACGAAGTATACTTGTGATAATAAAACAAAAGTGCTACTATTTACACGTATTTTTGTAAGGTAATATTTATACTGCGACAAATGAAAATAACAAAAATAAAGGGAGTAAGAACAACATGTTGAAAAAAAGAATAAGGTAAACGTCAGTGAGACAGCACACCAACGAACGACATTCATAAACAAAATACATCTAGACGGCATCAAAGTCTTCAGAAATAAACCAGTGTGTATACAAAATGTCAAGCTCCTTATCATTCCAGGTCAAAATAAGTAGTGATTATGCGGAGGTCTCCAGAAATACCGATATAATTGAATAAATTGCTTCCCATTTGATTCCAAGATTTTATTAGAATACAATTCAACCTAGAACGTTTTTATTAGGATGCAATTCAACCTAGAACAATTTCTAAAGCAAATGTCCTTTGATACCAACACTCGGTAGCCGAGTGGTCTTAAGTAGTGAAGTACTGTATCACTAGCTTGTCAACACTGAGGTTGTGAGTACGAATCCCGCACGTGGCAGGTGCGCTCGACTTCAATCTCAATTGACTAGTATTGTCAGTTTTCCTACCGAAGGTCGGTGGTTCTCACTGCACTCTGGCTCCACCAATAAAAAACTGACAGTCACGAAGTGCTGAAAGTATCGTTAAACATCAATCAATCAATCGAACCAATGTCAGGAATATGTTGTCTAATGCTAACGCATTTTTTCCCAAATCAAAAATATCAGCTTACCTATGCCAAAGTGTCGGTATGATCTTGTCTCAGTATTCACTAATCCTGTCCACTGTATTCCAAATGATGCTGGTTATGTAAATTGCAACGATGTATGTTAATTTGAAACTGGATTTCCTTTTTGCTTTGTTTTCTCGAAAGATTTGGAAGATTCGAATGGTTTTAATGAAGTAAAACCTGGTAAAAACCAGTTAAAATATAAAATACCAGGTTTGGAAAATGACAGTTGTTTTAGCATACTTGAACTAAAAGGATAGGACCATTATAGTCACTTAAGCAGACCTGACCCGAGTTGCATTTGATTATTGCTATCCCCTGACGTCCGTTGTACGTTGTTAGCGTTGTGTTTTCAATAATATTGTATTCAATGAATTATATCAACTACAGGTTTTTTACTTTAAAAATCGTGGTTTATTTCTTCCTGTAGATAAATATGGGGCCTTGATCTAGAACATGGGTGAAAAAAAAAGAACTGATTAAAAAACATGAGCTATTTCTTGGCAATCCTTCCCATACTGAACTATACGTAATTGTGAATGGAAAACACTATGATGAACTTCCATAACTTTGGTTAATTTGATGCAAATCTGTCATTGTAAACCTTAGTTTGATAGGGACCCTATGGAAATAAATGTAAACAACTTCTCCTTAAAAACGGCAGATATCCACGGAACATGCAATAAATAATAAAAAAAAAAAACAACAGTACCATGAACAATAAGAAAAACAAGTACACAACACACTTTAACAGAAATACTGAAGGCTGAGCAACACGGAACCAAACCAAAAACCGGGTATGATATCAGGTTTAGATGAAACAGTTGCACATATTAGATTTGCATTATGCATGAATGATTATATGAATTTGTAGTGTGGATGCTATCTGAAAAACAAAATAGAAACAGGATGGTATGCTTACCATTCTACTGCCGACTTTAATGTGCATATCAGAAGCTTAGAGCATGATATTAAATAGTGTCTTTAAGTCGGTTATATTTTTGTCTGATAAACTTGATTTTATTCATCTGAGGATGCAGTTATTAAGGCTGTGGATTTTCAATAAAAATTTCCGTTCGTCTTATTAGCATTAAAACAACAAAAGGGCAGATAATCATTTACGTTTGAATACATCGTATTTAGTGCTATATCGACTGATTAGGATTTCAATTTGATGACGCATTTTACAGGAAGACATGTCAAACTAAATGAACAAATTATCCTGCGATTTGTCCAGTCTTTTCTCTTATTTCTAAGTGCCGCTTGGTAAATACTATTGGCGTGGCTAGGTATTTATACATCCCGCCATTGTGGTATTGTGCTATGGTCATTTTTGTACTTTTGTCTTTCATTTTTGCTTATGTACTTTGTCTATAATATGCCATTTTGTTTTTCTTTATTTGTTTTAATAATGATTAAGAATATAACAAAATGTTGACTGCTGTACCCCGATTTTTGACATTTTTACCTACTATGCCTTTGTTTTGCTCACACAGTGTTGTCAATATAATGGAATGCTATATGACTGTCATACAAGTGCGAGGTTTAACTAGCTATAAACAAAGCTTAATCCACCATTTTTTATATAAGGAAATGCCTGTACCAAGTCAGGAATATGACAGTTGTTTTCTATTCGTTTGATGTGTTTGAGCTTTTGATTTTGCAATTTGATAAGGGACTTTCCGTTTTAAATTTTCCTTGGAGTTCGGTATTTTTGATATTTCAATTTTTGCTTAGTGCAGAAGCTCCAAATATGGAAGTGTTTGGTTTAATTGATGCGGGGATCGAACCTACGATCTCCGGCACTCGATGCGAGCAAGGCTACCACAAGAAACTGATGGTGGTTTCCTTTTATTTAAAGGGTTCTACATTTATCTATTTTTTGTTCATTTAAGTGACAAAAATATCAATGTTTACATTCATCATTACATTGTTAAAAACATTTTACCACATAATCCCCGCCCCACCTTCAGCTTGAAAATACAAGGGTCAATCCCTAACTAATCCCAACTTGTGGTTAACACATCACATAGGCAAAATCTTTGTTCTCACTGTGCTATAATCTGGATAATGCATAGCTAAAGTGTGCATTAGATACCTCAGATACTGCACAGTTCGAAGTTACGACACAGTCGATCAAAAGTTAACAACTTGGTACAACTCAATCGTCTCTAAATAAGAAATACAATTAAGATTGTAAAAGTGATAGGAACGAGAATAAGACTATTTTCTAAAACTTTTTGTAAAAATATTTTGTGTACTATGTAAATACGAAATCAATCCCCAAGCAAAGTAAAACTAAATAATTACTTTTTGTAATTTCTGAAAAAATAGATTTGATTTGGGATAGTTTTGTGCTCAACGGAATTGATTACTATGCAGATCGATATACTTCGTTCAGATGTGTCACATCTTCGAAATTGGTCATCGAATACAGTTGAAAAATAGGGGGGGGGGGGGGGGTTCAATGATGAAAAATTTTACGTTTGTTTCCGTTTTATATTGTCCAATAAATTTTGGTGCACCTCTCTTCAGTTGAATGAAATAAAAACACCAAACTTTACTCAATAACCCTTTTAATTTATGATTTCTTGTGAATCAATAACCCATTTAATTTATGATTTCTTATGAATCAATTTTGAAGTACAATGCACATCAAATGGAGCTTAAACTGTTTGATTGATTAATTGTTGATTGTTGGTTGCTTAAAGTGCAGTAACAAATATTTCATGCATGTTCAAATTAGCAATAAATATAATAGGAAGGTCCTGTAATAGAGGCCTTCGGGTCTGAAAGCCGGGGAAATTTGGACGGCCACTGGAAAATTATGATATATTGGATAGGGACAGAAATTTTGCCTTGCAACAGGACACCGGATATAACGTCCTCATTCTGACCGGACGTGGCTGTGTACTTGTACATTCCACACAGCCAAACGGACTCCCCACTTTGGCAAAGTTTTTACTGCCGATCGGAAGAAGACCAAGTGACCATATTTGTATTGCCCAATCACCCTTTGGGAAAAACGGTTTGAAAAAGAGGATGTTGGGTAAACGTCAATGAGACTGCAATCCACCGACAAAAAAATAACAGGCAAAATACAGTTTTCAACAAAATACAGGAGTCTACACAACATTCAAAACTCTAAATTGTTCCATATCTTTTTAAAAAATGTGAATATATTTAAAAGAAATCTTTAAAACTTTAAAATTAACGTGACCATTGTAATAAAGAAAAAGACTGAAAATAAACAAAAAATATATACTATAAAAGTAGCCAACCTTTTTTCTACCTAAAGGTTTCCTTTTATATACAAGAGAACTCGAAGTCACAATCCCGTCCTTATGTACCAGAGATGAACACAGAAATGATTCATTTGTCACAGTTACAATATTGTCCTCCTTTTGTCCTTTATGACTAATCACCAAACGTTAACTTGCCATGAGCTACAAGACGGGTGCCATCATTTGAGGCAGGAACCGTTTTTCCGTTCTAAAGCATCGGAATAAAAACTTATGTTTTACTGGTGTTTCATATGGCCAATCCTTGTATCAGCAGTCTCCAAGGCATTGACTAATTGTAACATACTATTTTTTGGTAACGCTAGAAACTTGTTAGCTGAAAATCTGGTGTTGATGTTTTCGGTAAATCTATAGAGAATGTTTTAGACAAAAGAGACCTTTGTACCCTGGGGTTCTAATGAAAACAATATTTGTTGTTGAATAGAAGTGTCCATCTTGTAGTACCTACTAGATTGAGTGATTGCTTGATATTCAGTTTCTAGTATCTTATGCATAATCAGTGCAAGAACAAATTAATAATCAATACACTATAGGTTCTGACAAGTGGCTGACCAAAATGAAGTACTGCACTGCATAATCAAGGTATGTTGGATAGGGCAGGGATATTTCCTTGCAACAGGCTACCCATGAACCCCTCAGATATTTGTTGCAAGGCTTCTTATATTTGCAGAGAGCATGACAATGACCTTCTACAAGACGTCGGATTTAACTTCCCAAATCGTATTGGACATGGCTGCGTTCTTCAAGTTATACATCCCACGAATTGAACTTAGATAATTTTGATAAGAGTTTACTATTTTACCTTGTGAAATTTAATGTTGAAACCCGATTCAAAACATATTGACTTCTGCAACTTGATAGTGATGAGTTGAAACTTCTGACAACTTTTCAGATTTGTTAGATACATAATTCCTGTGTAACAATACTTTAAATTTTCCAATATGATGAATTACATTAACTTAAAACTTAAAATTTCTCAGGTACTTTTTAAACCTAATGACGTCATAT